CCCCTGTTCTCCCCCACCGGGGCCGGCAGCGGCGGGAGGTGGCAGATGGCTGGCGGCAGAGGCGGCCCCAGGACCCTTGGGAACCGCGCTGAGCATCGACACAAACCTGCCTCTCCCCACCCCCACCGTGAACACAGAAGGAGGGAGGGTGCTGGGATGTGGGTTGCAACCTCATATGAGATTTACGTATGCGGAAAAGGAAAGGGGAGGTAAAGGCCGGGAATCTGTCCGTCCCGGAGCACCCACCCGTCTGCAGGGAGAGAGAACGGCACCATTTCAACAAGCTTCAAAGAGGTGTCCTGCAAAAACGTTAACCTGGGGGACAGATGGATAGAAAGTCGTGTCCCCTGCCACCAGGGCTACCCCCCCTATTTCTGCAGGTGCATTTCCAGCCGACTCCTACATCCCTCTGTTCTCACGCTCGATTGTTGCTTGTTATGAAACCCATTAGTTATTTCTACTCCGCCACCTCTCACTGTGATCACGCACCCACAAACTCCTCAAGCTCCTCCCTCCCATATGAACTGAAACAGCCTCTCCTAGGTGCAAAGCTCTCCTACTACTATTAGATCAGCCCTTATCCCTTACTACCTCTCTACTGCCAGGCAAAACCGAAGGGCTGCTCTCCACCACGCATCCATCTGTGTGCCCTCAGTATTTCTATTTGTTCTGATTTACTACGCAGGCATGGATGGTTAAGGGCGCTCTGGAAAGATTCAGTTTCTTAAATTCCAAGGGGGTGGGATGGAAGACAAGAACAACAACACTCCAGAGGCATTTATGGCATTATACTGCACCGATTTTGGCTATGGCTACGGTTGTAAACACATTTATTTCGTCCTTGTAAACCAGTTGTGATAAATACTGCACAAGGCAGAGGAAAAAAAAAAGGCAGGCTGCTGGGAGTGTTTACTAATAAAAGAGCTGGCATCCTTCCCGTGCTTTTTCAGGCAGACAAGAAAAAATGTATGTTTTACTATAAATAGATACGTTTTACTGGTGATTTGCGCCGAATCACAGCACCTCTTGCAGTCTCCAGCATCCTGAAATCTTTTTTTCTCTCCCTTTTCGTACCATTGTCTCTTTGGTTGCATTGTCTCCCTGGCGGGGACTGGGGGGGTTGCTGCCTGTGCTATGTGTGGGGACAACAACACGAGAAGGGCTGGCTCAAAGAGGAACCCCCTCTTTCCTCCCTCTCCGTGGATGGGGGAGGGAAGCTGGAAAACTGCACCCCCTTCCCTCTGCCCGCAGCAGGTCAGGCCCCTCCGCGGAACCGCTCCGCGTTTCCTGCCCCGAGACTGGGGCCGAGGGGGCAATCCCAGCTCTTTAGGCTTTTCCGTGGGATTGCGCCCCCGCTGTGGCCCCAGGGCTCCCCGGGAGACTCGGAGGCGACTCCTGCCCTCTGAATCTCCCTATTTATTTCAAAGGAGTTTGCGAAAAGTTTAAATCTTGTTGCGTTGGTTTTGTGTTTTGGTTTGGGTTTTGTTGTTGTTTTTTAAAGTGGGGTCAGCATCCAGAAATCTGGGTACAAAAGAAACCGCAGCCCGTATGTGCACGTTGCAGCCCAGTTTAACGCAGTGGCAGAGGAGTTAAAATGCCGGTGAGGCTGCTCGCTTTCCTCAGGGACAGGGCTGGAGCAGAGAAGGACAAGAAGCAGGGCCGAGGTTTCGCCGCGTCCGCAGCTCAGCCAAGCTGTTGTTTTAAAAGAGCAATAAAAATGAATTATGACTAAACGCCTTCTCACTTAATGGTTTTAGACGGGGATCCCCAGCCCCGGCTAGTACGTAAGAGGATTTTTATTTGTGCATGTGTTCCTGCAATTGATCTATTTGATGACATTCTCATTCATAGAAAGAGTTTGATTTATGACTTTCGGAAGAATTGCGTGCAGCCCTTCCAGCAATAACCCACGCATCCCCGCTTCCACAACGTGTTGCAGAGCTGGGAGACAACACTCCTCGCACGGACGGGCAGCAGAGCCCCGGCCACAAGCCCCCCGCTCAAGCCCCCTTGGCCTGTGTAATGTACCCACGCACTCACACGCACTCACACGCACACAGGGAGCCGCGCTCGCAGCCGCCCGGGATCCCCCGGCCCCGGAACGGTAAAACCCCGCTGGCATCTGTTGCTCAGTTTTAACCCGCAGGACGGGGCTCATCCCCCGCTTTGGGGTCCGACCAGGCGGCTGGCCGGGTGGCAAGCAGTTGGGTGGGGATTTCTGAAAGCCCATCTTTGCTGCTGCCAGCAGAGAGTGGGGAGCCCCAAGAAAACTGGAACTTCAGAGTCGGAGTCTCCCCTTTTCGTTATAAGTCCTTCGCCCTGCAAGAAGTTTTAACCAGAAAAAGATCTTGGATTGTGCGCCCGCACCGCCCCTCAGAAGGACAGAGCGGAGGGACTGATTCATCCCTAAATGCTTTTTTTTTCTGCCCTGCGTTTCTGCCACCCTTTTGATTTTGCAGGCACTAACTTCTCCATTTCCTCTCCTTCTAGGGCTGGTTTCTTGGACCGCTCAGCACGTCAGAAGTAACCAAGCGCGTTCTCTGTGAGCTCTGATATTTTTAAAGATACAGTTCCTGAAACAGCCTGCTGGCTGCTCAGCGCTACTTTCTAGAAAAACAGGATTGTTTCCCAAAAAAAGCCTTTGCTGTATGTAACAGGCTAGTTTCTGCAGGAGACTCTTATCCTACTGGGTCTCTCTGATGTTTTGCCTGTAACAGAGAAAGTGCTCCTTCATGCTTTTGTTACAGCTCAGCATTTCCAAGCTTTGTATCCACATGGCATTAAGATGCTACATTTATACATTAAAAGAAAGAGGTATCCATCAAAGCTGTGAATGGTTTTAGTTTCTCTGGGTTTTTTTTGTTTGTGTTGTTTTGTTTTGTTTTCCTTGTGAGAACCCTTGCAATAAAGAATTCGAACATCTTTTTTTCTCTCTAATAAATGTCCTAAAATTCCAACGGGGGAGAGCTCGTAGTCAGAATGTTTTGATTATTAGTAAATTTAGAGCACAGGAGAGGGTAGAAATACTCGTCGTGTGAAGAGTCTTAAAAAGAGGGAGAAAGAAAGAGAGAGAAAGAGAAAGAAAAAAGAGAAAGCTTCTTGTAGCAAACAAGAATTTATTCTACCAAAAATACTTATGACAACGCATCCTAATGCAATACAAAAATAAAAAGAAAGTGAAGATACAATTCCTATATGATCACTTTCTCACAGACCTCATATATTGCTTTCATAGAAGGACCTAGAATGTGGCTAGGTTAAAATCGAACACAACTAAAACTTCTTAAGAAACAGTAAAATGGCACAACAGAGGGAGGTAATAAACAGAAAATACCGACCAGGGAGAGGGAGGAGGGAAAAAATAAAATTAATTCACGGGGAAAATAAAGAAGAAGAGTAAGGAGGAGAAAGCAGGACACTTGGAGAGGACGTCTTTAATTTCTCAGTAATTCAGATGCTGCAAGTCAATTGTAGTGAGTGTGTCTGTAAAAAAGTCAAAACTGTCAGCAGAAATATCTACGGGACTGTCCAGGGATCCTGGCAAACTGGGGGAAACTGCATCTGAAAGCTGTAGGCAGGAATCTGTGGAGAAAACGTTAAAGTCCTGTAAAGAAGGGACATCTAGGGCCTCAGGACTGTCATTGTTCAGGCCAGCTGCACAGTTCTGGGCCATTGTTGAGAGGCAGTTTTGAACAGTGGGTGACTGATGTTGAAAATGTTTCAGATTTTTCTCATTGCTCGTTAAAGGCGAAACGGGGAAAGTTTGGGACTCGCCATTGTGCGCATTCTGCGCCTGCTGCTGGGAGAGAGCATTCTGCTGGAAAGCGTAGCCTTCCCGCTCCAAGAGAGCGCCGGAGACGTTGCTGAGGGCTTGCTCAAAGAGGGATTTCTCCTCCTCCTCCTCCTCCGCAGCTTTCTCGGGGTCCTCTAGGCTCTTAAATTTCCCCTCGCTGTTTTGGTTCTCCTTGCACTGGGTCTGTCTCTTGTGCTTCATCCTCCTGTTCTGGAACCAGACTTTGACTTGTCTCTCAGTCAGATCCAGCAGGGCTGCAATCTCAACCCTCCTTGGTCTACAGAGATACTTGTTGAAATGGAATTCTTTCTCTAGCTCCAAAAGCTGGGTGTTGGTGTAAGCCGTCCTCAGCCGCCTAGATCCACCGCTACCACTATCAGGGATTTCAAGGGGGTCTGTTAAAAAAAAGAAAGAAAGAAAAAAAAAAAAAGGAAAAAAAAAAAAAAGAAAAGCAAAAAAGAAGAAGAAGCACATGATGATTTCAGATGGTGATAAAAGAAATCGAGAAAGGGGGGGAAGTGCTCTCTCTGTGCGTATGTGTCTATATCTATATGCCCATATAGCATAAAATAGCAACTGCAACAAAATGGCCGCCTTTGGATGCAGTAAACCCATTGTGTTGCACTGCTGAGCGCCCAGTGCTGCGTTCCTCTCGGCCACCTCCGCAAAATTACCGCCTCCAGCTCCCCAACCTCCCCACACCAGAGCAAACTTTATATTAGCCATACCGCAATTTATAATTAATGCATCAGCTGCTTAGCTGAGCGGGAGCAATCTATCACTCTTCATTACTGTCAAATATCCTAACTCTAGGACGGCGAGACAAGAGAGGTCAGCTCCAACTCAAATAAATCATCCCGCATTAAGCAAGTTTGGGGAAAGTTTGAGTTTCCGGAGAGCGCCAGCTCC